CGTCCCATGCTAGTATAGGAAGGAATTTGAATTTAGATAAATTAGAATATTTAGTTATTATCTTTCTTTCTCAAAGGTTTTTCATGCAAATTGATTTTTCTAAAGCTTAGTGTTTTAGATCCTCTTCTAATTGTTCTTATTATTTAGACTAAAGATCTTTGTAGGTTTTAGTTGTTGGTTTGCCTTAGATTAATTTTTATGTTTCTGCATCCATTGCTAATCTGTGTAAATATATATAGAAAACCTATCATTTTGTCCCTACAAAAACTCTCATTTCTTAATTATTTGAAATTAATTAAATTGATATAAAACATATTCGGAAAGTATGTGTTACATTTGGTCCCTAATATAGTTTCTTTTTATAGTTTTCGTTTTTATTAATATTACTTTTTATTCATTTTTGTGTTTCTAATTTGTTTAAGCGTCATAAGATTTCACGATATTTATTGTAGTATTAACTCATAAAATTTATATGTATTGCATGAGGCAAGATACATTTTTAAACCTTATTTTCGTTCGATTTCTCCAATCATAATTGTCAAAACTTTATTTTTATATTTTTATGGTCCACTTGATACGGTATAACCGTCACCGTTCTATATGTGGACCGTTGGGATTTGGAAATCAAATTTTATATACGAAATCAAATGTGTTCTCCGTCGCAACAGACGGAATGACTTCTAATATATACTTTTAAATCCAAAACTAACGTTATTTTTCATGGTTATTAAGATCTTGATTTTGATTGCATGATTGCAATCTTAGATCCTACAAATATCATAATAACACTAGAATCTATCCGATATATATATATATATATATATATATATATATATATATATATATATATATATATATATATATATATATATATATATATATATATTAGGATCGTAGTATCCTACATACTAACAAAGATCTTAAATTTTAACTAAATATGATCACCTCTTCCATCTTTATTATATAGTCGAACATCAATTTTTTGTTCATAAACTTGAAATCAATCATCGTAGCTTGTAAGAAGTCCTATAAAGATCACCACTTCATTATTTCTTCTCGGATTAAAAAGAGCGTCGACACTTATATTATTCCTTTTATGTTTTTTTGTCTTTAGTTGTATATGTTTACACCGATCTTGTTTTATTTCTTTTGTTAAAATGTTTTCTAGTTGTTGCGATTTGCAGGGAAAAAAAAAGTCTTAGTCAAAAACAAAGTAACAAGTATCGTAAAAACATACCTTAAGAGCAAATTTAGAGGTTTGCAATCAGAAACAAAGGAAAATGACTTAAAACGGTAAGTACGTTTCAAAATCGCTCCAAATACACAATCAATGCTTGACCTATTCAAAAAAATATCATCCAACTAATGAATTTGTTCAAAAAAACACCAACAAAGTAAACGATTTGTTCAAATTTTAGTCATTAGTGGTCTCCTAATGCTTCGGTGGGTTACACAGTTGCTTCTGCTAGGACTATGATTGATTCCCAATTTTTAGAGACCTCCTCTCAATCTACTAGATGGAATCGCTTCCTGCCTTCCAAGGTTAATATTTTGTTTTGCAGACTGCGCTTGAATAAAGTTCCTACCAAAGTGAATTTAGATAGACGGGGAATTGACATTGGTTCTGTGCTTTGCCCTATTTGTGGCAATGATGTTGAGACCGTCAATCATCTTTTATTTACTTGTGGTATGGCGATGGATTTATGGAGTCTTGTTTCTAGATGGTGGGAGGTGGATATATCTTTATTTTCTTCTATCTCGGAATGGCTTTCTTGGTTAGATTCGACTCGTTTATCTCTCCAGGTCAAGAGATGTCTAGATGTGGTGGTTAACACCATGTTTTGGGCGTTATGGTCTTTTCGAATAGTTTTCTATTTGCGAAAGACAAACCTCGTAAGGCGGTCATTTGGGATTCGATTCAGTCTCAATCTTTTTTTGGATTAATTGTAGATGTTCTAAGTTTAGAATTAATTGGGATGATTGGGTGAAAAGTCTGTCTTTTATAATCACTTAATGTGCTTTTTTTCTAGCTTTTGCTAGTTTTATATATTGTCGCCGTTCTTAAAAAAAACAAAACAAAAAAAAAATCTTAGCCATTAGTAACCGGCATGTGTAGGTTACAGGAAAGACTTTACCTGGGAAAATTAATTAAGGGGAAAACATTATGACATGTCACTCTTACGTGGATTAAGGGGAAAAAATCAAACACGTTTCAGTAATCGGAGGGATGCTTCATTTACACAGCAGTTATCTTCTTCTTTGCTTCAAGCACCAAGCTTGCTACTCCTTCTCAAAATCAAATTGGTACACCGGTCACCAAAAAAAATTGTGGCCTCTCCTCAAAATCGATCGATAGGATTCAAGAAATGCTCGAATCGAAGAAGTACATAATTGTGAATGGGAAGGAGTGAAGAACTTGTGAACGTCTCTAGGGTTCGATCTTCTTTGGTCGATCGATCAACCGGTTATCTTCTTTTTTGTGTCAAGCACCAGGCTCGCTCCTCTTTCTCAAAATTTGATCGATACACCACAATTACCAAAATAATTGCAGCCTCTCCACAAAATCAATCGGCGGGATTCAAGCAACGCTCCAATTGATCGACAAACCACAACCCCACCCCATTTTAAATCGGTACCAGACAACATAGAGACGAAAAACCTTTTGTTGCTTTCTTCTCTCACGATCGATCGTAGGTATTTCTCTTTCTTTTCCATCTTGGTTCAATGACAACCTCCTCTTCTCCCTCCTTATTTCTTTTTTTCTAGATTTACAATGATGAAGTTGTTGATGGCATTGATCTGTAATGGTGTGTAAATGAAGGCTTCATATGGTTGAAGATGAAGGCTAGAATCAGGAAAGGGTGAAGGAGGTCCTTATCAAGCTTATGGTGTTGGTTCGGTGTTTGTGTGTGTAAAGATGGCAAGGGGATGCTTCCGGTGGCGAAGCTACATGGGGCGTTGGGGGTACTACAACATCCCAAAAAAATGTTTTATATATAAAAATAAATTATTTGTAAACATGTTCTATGTTATTGTACCCCCAGTTAAAGGCATTGTACCATGTCTTTTATGATTGCTATAACAAATGTAGAAAGAATAAATTGAGGAATAGCATGGATGTTCAATTTTTAAACGATTGTTTAGTCACTTTTATTTGGAATGATGTGTTTCTACAAGTTCTTGGTGACGATATCATTGATCGATTTCAAGACATGAAGCGTTGTCGGATTCAATGTAATTTTTGCTTAAATTATATTTTTTTCTCATTTATGAATTTAAATACTAAGAAAGTCTTTGCATATTTTAAATCATAATAATGTTGTACCCCGTATCAAAATTTCTGGCTCCGCCACTGGATGCTTCCTATGATGAATTGTGAAAGTTAATTGCATGGTGTATTATAGGTTTATGGTGATGGACGGGAGGTATAAGGTGTACAAGGGTATGGTGGATTTATCAATGCTGACTAGATATGCCAATTTACCAGGTAAATATGCCAACTCATCCATTAACATGAAAGATGCAGTTACATAAGTTACTTAAGGTGAAATTTGAACAAAATATGTACTTTATTGGTGTTCTTTTGTACAAAGTCTTTAATTGAACTTCAATGATGTTTCGTGAACGATTTTGAAAGGGTTAATGACCTAGAAAGGTAACGAACTTTGGTCTTAGTCCACATTTAGGTAAGCATGTTTTTTTTTCGTTCACATTTAACCATTGAACTTGTTTGACCCGTTCAAAATAGGGTAATATGACTGGAAATTACGGTAATATTACCCAATTATGAACATGTCAAACAAGTTTATTGGTCAAATGTGTACGAAAAAAACATGGTTACCTAAATATGGACAAAAACCAAAGTTTCTTGCCTGTTTTGGTAATATTAGACAAGAACTTTCTCAAGGATTGTGCCCTGGGATCAGACTCCGACGGTCAATGAACAATTAGGTTAGGCTTCTTCTAACCCAGTTCAGTCCGACTAGTCATGGGCTAGGCTGTGTTGCTAGGTCATTAAAACACATACAACCTAGCCCATTAAGTGTATACAGCCTAACCCCTAACTAGCTGGGCCTAAACTGGGTTGGCCCAAGACTTAACCATCTCCTCATACACGAAGACCGGACAACTCAATTTCATGTCACATCAATGGATCTTATGACTACTTGCACTTAACATAAGAACCCAATATTACCAAAATGGGTAAAGAACTTTGGTTTTTGTCCATATTTAGGTAACCATGTTTTTTTCGTACACATTTGACCAGTAAACTTGTTTGACATGTTCATAATAGAGTAACGTTACCGCCAATTACCAGTCATATTACCTTATTTTGAACAGATCAAACAAGTTCAATGGTCAAATGTTTACGAAAAAAACATGGTTTCCTTAATGTGAACAAAAACCAAAGTTCGTTACCTTTCTGGTTCATTAACCCATTTTGAACCTTTCTGGTTCATTAACCCATTTTGAAACTTACTTACGGATAAATCAACAAAGGGCTTGTAGCCCAGTGGTATCCGGTGTTGCCCTCCCTCGTTGAAGTCGAGGGTTTAAGTCCCATAGTGGACATAGGTGGATTGTAGGAATAGTTTAGAGGGTTTAAGTCTCATAGTGGACATAGGTGGATTGTAGGAATAGATATGGACATAGGTGGATTGTAGGAATAGTTTAGATGTAGATTATATATTTGCCATTTTAAAAAAAAAAACTTACGGATAAATCATTTTCCCTCAAAAACAAAGTAACAAGTATCACAAAAAATACCTTAAGAGCAAATTTAGATGCTAGATCATTTTTTAGTAGGATCATATAATAATTTTTATTACCAAAGTTGAAAGCCTTTAACATCGATATTTTTTTTCAGAAAATTATAATAAACAGATTAATTTGTTCTTTTACCTTGAAGTTGTTTTTTTGGTATAGATTCAAGTCAATCCGAATCTTTTCATTTGATCAAAGATCTATATGTTCAATGTCTAATTAGTACCAGAAACTAATTCCATTCATGGCACGTTAAACAAGTGACCAAGCTCAAATAAATCAAGGGGTCTGATTCACAAACTAAGACCAGACTCAACTCGAATTTTTACATATCATCTTCTCCATCTAAGCTCGCACAGGAAAAACCCTAACTTCATCAATTACAGGGCCACAAAGAGACCCAAAATCATCAGCCCTAGTGTGATAATACGAGCTGTAAAAAGTCACTCTAGTTCTCGCTGACAGCGCCTTAAACTTCATGCTCACCACCTTCGACTTCCCCTTTCCTTCCGATTTAAATGGCGCTTTCAGTGTATCTTTTGCAGCAAATGCTTCAACCATCATGTCTCCATGGCACCCGTTCTTCGCGTCTCCAATGGCAAATGACAGGCTGTAGAGTTTGTTTGGGATTGTTCGGAGGATTTGTGCGATGGCGCTTTCTCTTCCGGCGACTAGTTCGATGGCGGCGACGCCGTAGGGGACGTTGAAGTGTTTGTTGTCGATGAACTTAACGGCTTTTAGAGACTCGATGATCCATCCGGGGAGAGGAGATGTTATGTCTTCTTGTCGAGGAGGGAGGAGGACGCCATTGGAAGAGTTGAATAATCGATGAGGCCCTTCCTCAAATCCGCCATTTTTCACGATATTAACTGCAAAGAAAACAATCAACGAGTTGTTAGATCCAAGTATAGATCTGGATAGTTTTCTTCAGATTTGGAAGTTTACTTACGGCGAGTAGGTCTGGGAGGGAGGAGCTCTTTAATGGCGACGGCGTCAATGAGAGGACCGCATTTGGGATCTTCTTGTACACCAGGGTTATGGAAGGTTAACCTCACTGAGCTCGAATTCGCTTTAAATCCATAAGCGTAGACATCGCCACCGTCGCTGCTGTAAAGAGTCTGCAGCGGAAGGTCACCGGACTGTGGCGGCACCGACACTCTCAAAACCTCCTCCTGTGCACATGTTCTCGAAGCACCAAACGTCACAGCATACAGAGATCCAGCTTTCACGGCTATATTTTGAGAGATTGTAGCTTCGTTCCCGAGTCTGACGGCGTGGACGCCGTGTGCCACCGGAAAGTACATTCCACCCGGCTGAGGTCCGCCGTGGATGTACTCAACGAGACCACTGATTTCCCATTTGGGTAATGCGGTTTTACCCAGCAGGACTGTTTTCTTTATGTCGGTTGCTTTTGGTGGTTCTTCGAAGTTTCCATTTGGCAAAAGACCTGCACAAAACACGAGTAACAATGGCGGCAATGGTGTTAATCGTCAGTGGGTGTTAATGAAATCAGAATCTGAAGTGAAAGATGGTAAGATACCTTCCATTGGAGTTGCAGGGGGACGAGCAGCAAGAACAGAGGTGGAGACGAAGATGAAAATAAGCAACATGGAGATAAGTTTCGACATTTTTACAAGGAGGAGTGGGATTTGGATGGCGAAAATTAGGGTTTTGTGGTTGAAATTTATATGGAAAAATGGGGGGAGAGGGAGAAAGAGGAATATCTTGAGAACGGAGACATAGGGTCTGCTTGTAGGATGAACGGTGGATTCTATTTGAAGAAAGCGGATGATGACAGACACGAGGGATGTTGGGGTGTGCTTCCTTTTTTAACTAAGATTTCTCCTTGATTCGTGCAATCTAAATTGTTGTTATTTATAATGGAAAATTAAGTAATTTAATCTATGATTTTGAGAGATTCTCAGAGAAAAATAATCTACTTTTAAGGAGCGTTAAACGGAAAAACATTTTTTATTTTTATTTTTCGTTTTTCTTTTTCAGTTTTCATTTGACATTTTTATTTTTCATTGAAAAATTTAGAAAACACGTTTAGTTAAAACTTATTCATTTTTCATTTTCAGTTTTAGAAAATTAAAAAACGTGTTTAGATGTGTATTTTTCTATTGGTTTTCATTTTTAGAAAACAGTTGTGGTGGTAGAATGGGGGTGGAGGCGGCGGTGGTTGCGGCAATCGTGGTGGTGGTGGTGGTGGTGGTGATGGTAGTTCGGTGATTGTGGTAGTGGTGTTGGGTGTGTCTGTGTGTTTGTGGGTGTATGTGTGTGTGTTTGTGGGGGTAGGGGTGGGTGTGTGGGTGGGTGTGGGTGTGTGTGTGTGTGTGTTTTGGGGGTGGGGTGGGTTTGTGTGTGTTTTGTAGGGGTGGGGTAGGTGTGGGTGTGTGTGTGTGTATGTGTGTTTGTGGGGGATTGGGTGGGGGTGGGGATGGGTGTGTATGTGTGTTTGGGGGTGGGTGTTTGTTTATGTGTGTTTCTGTGTGTGTCTGTTTGTGGAGGTGGGGGTGGCTTTGTGTTTGTGTGTGTGTGTGGGGGGGGGGGGGGGGTATGGGTGGGGGTTGGGGTTGGGGTAGGTGTGTGTTTGTAGGGGTGGGCTTGGGAGTGGGTAGGTAGGGGTGTGGTGGGTTGGAGGTGTAGAGGTGGGGGTAGGTAGAGATGAGAGTGAGTGTGTGTTTATATTTTAGAAAAAATTTGGAATTAGAAAAATGTGGAAAACAATAATTATTGGTTTTCCAAAAATTTCCAACTTCTTTGTAATTTTCGAAAACGGAATATTTTCATTTTCTGTGAAAAAAATTAGAAAAATAGATGAACTAAACGCGTTTTCAAAATTCTCATTTTTCTTGGAAAATTTTTCCGGAAAACGGCTCATTTTTCCGCAACTAAAAGCATCCTAAATGTTTTGGGATAATAACGTGAGAATGTAACGTATAACATATTAAAAAAAAGGTTTTTTAGTTGAACCGTTATGGTGATCGGTTTCTGGTTCAGCCGGTTTCTATAATTTCATATTTGTTTCTATTTTTCTACATAGACATAGACATCCATAAGTTCAAATATTAAAAATACATATAAATACAAGTTGTAGATCAATCCAAATACATTAAAAAACATATAACCATAATTTTACATTAATCTACGTAGATAAAAAAGAAAAATAAAGTATAATACACAAACAAAATATAATATTAAATGAATACAAATGTATTAAAAAACTTTATAACATGTATCATGTGTTTTTATTAAAACAAATCTAAATAGATGTGAAAAAGAAAAACACCAAAGTTTGCTATGTAAAATGATTAATTTTCATATGTTTTATTTAATTTAACCGGTTCAGCCGCGTATTTGAAAAAACCGACTGGTTAATTCGAAATAGACATAAAATCGGTGCTAGTTGAACCACTTTCTTATCTTGTTTCCAATCCAACCGGTTCGACCGGCCGGTTCAAACCAGTTTTTAAAACATTTGGTAACAAACTTTTAATTTTTTTTCACATTTAGTCACTGAATTTTTTCGTGCTTAATTTACCCCTGAATTATTTTAAATTGTACACATTTTACCCTTATGACTGGTTACAACAATCGATCATAAAGGTAAAATGTTAACATTTCAAATAACTCATGGGTAAATCAAGCACGAAAAAAAAGTTCAGTGACTAAATATGAACTAGTTGAAAGTTTGTTACCCTTTCAATTCATTATCCCTTTTTGTAATCATCTCTTAGTTTATTTTTCTTATTCGTAGCAGTTACTTAGATTAATAATTTTGATTTCAGTTACTACGACTTGGTTTGTGTTGTGTTTGTAAGGAGTATTACATAATAGAATATGTATCACATAACCATGTTGTAGTTCATTGCTTTAATCCTAGTCAATGAGATAAACTTTTAACTAAAGTTTCTTTATTCACATATAAGTGAAATGCCAACACACAAAGAATAAATAATCAGTAGAGTTTCACAAATGCACAAAAAACACATATACGAGCAATAGAACGAAAAATAGATCGAAAATAAAAATGAACATGGTTAGAAGGTACATATAGAACAACATACAAATAAAAAAGTTAGATACATGTAATAACTATGAAGAAAAGTATCGGCAAAACAAGTTGAAAGTAAAAACAATGAAAACTAGGCAAAATGCACAAACAATGTAAAGGCAACTAGCAACTAAACTACTCAGGTAGTACTCCACAACCTTGATCTTATGCATCCACACTCTCTAATCAAAGCTTGTGTCCTTCTAAAGAGAAAAACCTCATTCAAATTTAACATTGTATCATCTTCACCCTTCTTTATCATATGTTCTCTCGTCCTTACATGATCTACAACAACTGTCTCCACCCTCTGGAGTGAAAATCGTTGCATATGTCCTAAGTATATGTTTGAAACCACCACAATCTTTGTTTCTTCAAATTCTATGTGATTAAAGTTACTTCCATTGTATTTATAAGTGTTGTTTTTAGTACCTTTCACAATAGAGGTATATCGCTTTTATAACTTTCATATTCAGTTTGTATTCATTCTTAATAACATTTACAAACATTTATGGGATAATGGCTTGAAAAGGTAACAAACTTTCAATTTTGTTCACATTTAGTCATTAAACTTTTTTCGTGTTTGATTTACCCCTAAATTATTTGAAATTATTCATATTTTACCCTTATGATCGGTCATAGCCGGTCATAAGGGTAAAATGTGAAAATTTTCAAATAATTCATGGGTAAATCAAGCACGAAAAAAATTCAATGGTTAAATGTGAGCAAAGTTGAAGATCGTTACCCTCTCAAGTCATTATCCCAAATGTTTTTTGGAAAAATAACTAAACAGTGTATTTCAGAGTGTCAATTTTAAATATTTTCGGACTGACGACCTAAATACCGAAGTAGCAAGAAAAAAATTTTAGAAAAAAAAAAAAGTTAAGATCATTTTCATTTTTGTGTTTTTATATGGATTTTTAAAATAACTTATATATATTGCAAAAAATAATAATGTTTGAAAATATTAAATTTATTCCAAAAAATATTAAATAATTTCTTTTGTGTACATTTTTGTGTTTATTTATGGTTTTATATAGTTTTTGAAAAATAAATTGTATGTATTGCAAAAACAAAATAAATAAATAAATAATGTTTGAAACCCTTAAAGTTGTTGCAAAAAGGTATTGATTACATAAACTAAAATATGTTTAAAAAATACTACAATGTTCAAATGGACCCATACTTTTTATTCGCACCTCATACAATTTATTTGATTCGCTTGCGATATGAAATAGCTCAGGTTTTGGTTGATCTCTCTACCCTCACAGATTTCCCAGCGAGCAACATATATATGAACCAACATAAGAGCACTCTACAATCCCTTTACCGCCAGATTATTGTGGTACATATGCGCCATTTGCAAATGTGATTTTGAAATTCTCAAGAGGGATTACACAGTAGGTTTGGTATCCTAATAGTTGATACTCACTAGAAGTTTGTGGATATGGGCTCGTATATCTATAAATCAAGATGTTTTTTTCTGAAAACAGTCTCCCTTCCAGTGACTATCGTATATAGTCATTTTGAATGTCTTGAATTCCAAAACTCCCAAAATCTAATGGGAAATTGGTATATTGATAGGGATGGAAAGTTGCACAAATTGTTGGAGTTAAGTAATCATCAAATAACATTTTTTTATAAGTGACTATTGCTCAGGTAATGTAACTGAAACACAAGTATATCGTATCACACTCATACCAGGTTGGATAAATGCATCCATTAGCCATACTAATCCATTCCTCTACATCTGTGTTGAAAGTTGTCGCTACAAATATCCAGTGGGCATAATCCGATCTACAGTCTATCATCAATTAAATCCAGATCATGATGTTATCAATCAACACATGTATACAATAAAGTTAGTAATCTTACTAAATGTGTACTACGTAATGATCACATACATATATAACTTACATAATATTCCAACCAGCCCAAGTCATGGTCCCCATTTAAGCGCGTCTAAAACTCCATTATTGGTATATAACTGAGAAAACGGTGGGCCAAATCAAGCCAATCATCCCGTTGTTCATATAGAGTGTGAATGTTAGGGTCAAAACAACTGTACAACAATGTTGGGTATTCTTCCCGAGGAATCACTTTTATATCCGACGAGTCATTATATGTAGACATCTACTCAATTTTGTCATTCAGCAGATGTAGAGGTGTACCTGATCCATATCCATGGTTTCATAAGTCATTATCATGTATAGTACCAATGACATCTATGATAAGTGGATGTAGGGTTCCATAGTATTTAATTATAATCGATGGATATACCATAAAGTTAAATAAACATATACGGGAGTGAAATCATTAACATTCTACCTCCATCCCTGGGAGGTACTGTAGGATCATTTAGATTCTACAAGATGGAAATCAAGATTCGATTACGTAAACAAATGAACATGATAATGTAAATAAGATCTAATATTTCATTTAGAGAGTAAAGGTATGATATTACAAAGACGTAAGACACCTTTAAAAATATACTCTCTACTTCCAACTAAACATCTTTTTATATAGTGCATACAAAGGAGTCAGTTAGGCTCTGACCAGTAAAATCAAGACACCTAGAAACACACTATATTTGGTGCCAAAACAAGCTAACATAAATGTGAAATCTAAGTTATAAAAAATACGAACACAGACTATTAATTTGCATCTACAAGTGAAGACCTAGTACATAAGACTCCCAACTCCCTTTCGTATCAAAACTCGAACACAACATAAACAATTTTGAACACCAACAAGCTCCCGCTTTGTGTTGAGTTAAGAAAGAAGTCTTCAATTGATAT